GACTTTGCTTGTGAGAAGGTCACAAAAGGTGATCACATGACCTTGGGACACAGCAATGGTCATAAATATAAACCAGTTGCCAAGCATCTGAATTTTGATCACACGATCATGGGGATGCTGCAAAGGTTGTAACTCTGAAAAATGGTCATAAGTCACTTTTTTCAGTGCCACTGTAACTTTGAATGGTCACTAAATGAACTGTAGTAAGTCGAGAACTACCATATACCAATTGCAAGTGTTCCTGAAGTAGAAGGTATTGGCTATAGTCTCCCACCTCGTCACCTTGTGGGTAGACTACTGTAGTATGTTCTACATGGACCATCTTTAACGACCATAAATTGCAACTTATGAAAATACAATTCACATCTAGCTAAGACAACCCGGTATTATTATATAATGCCAATATTGCAGGAATTTCATTGCTTGCCCATTTGTTTCTGGGTACAATTTAGACAAATGACATATAAATAAATAAAGCCTTGGAATCTAATTTTACCACAGCACTTCACACACTGAAGAGGTTTGAGTGCAGATTCTGCTTATGTAATGATCTTATGCATGTTCAGTGTGAAGTCATTAAGAAACTGCTTCTCTACAGTATTGGAGAGCTATCCTCACCAAGAATAATGTGGAGGTGGCAGAAATGTTCTAGACTATATTCTACATAACTATACTACATTAATGAATCCTCTGCCTGTTATGGACAAGCCCAAGAACTCAGAGCACAGATCGACCTTTATCCTTACCCTAGGAATTGTTGCCTCAACCCAGCTGCCCATGAGTAAACATCACTAACTGCAGTTAAAGTGCAGGTTAGCAGATCTGGGCATTCCGGGACCATCATTCTTGATCTTTTTATTTTTATGTGAATTTAGAGTGGGAGCATTATTTTATACGTTGACTTTGTAATCTGCCTACAGCCTTTAGAGAATAAGGGGTATGCAGACTCAATAAACAAACACTAGATTAAAAAAAATAATCTTGTGGACATAATTTATATTCTCTCCACAACTCCAAGCTGGGAAAAATACTGTTTGGGGAAAGGCATTATGTGCATGCTCCCACTTACATACATACTACTTTAGATGTTATAATTCCAGCAAGAACATGGAACCAAACATTATTTCTAACCTATACATCAGGCTTATTTATTCATTAGACTGGTATCTCACTCTTTTCGGTGCATCTCAAGGCAATGTGTGCAGTACTCCTCCTCCTATTTCCTTACAATAATCCTGTAAGGTGGATTGATCTGAGAGAAAGGAATTGGTTGTCCCTCTGCTGGCTTCCATGCTTAAGGCACAATAAAAACTCATGGTATCTGACTTTCTTTCCAGGGCTTTAACCATACCTATTCAATAGTTGCCCCCCTAGTAGTGATGAATACTACTTGGTATGATGTAGAGAACAAATTTTGAGAAGGTTACACTACTGCAATTTCTTATACTGGGTTATGTATACGTATCTGTGTAAAATAATAAATAGTAATAGAATATTCAAATTCATTCCTTGTGAGATCTCATGTGAGAACACCTTACATCTATATCATTTTTAATTTTCAAAAACGTATTTTCTTTAAAAAAAATAAGTCTGTCAATGGACTCTGTATTGATGATTTTGGGTTCAGATGGAAATCCATAATCTATGAAATTTCACAGCATGCTTACCACTACCATCGGGCAAAGCACAAACATAAGTTGGCAACATAGGTAAGTAACTGGTTGCTTTGTCCTTCTCCTTGAGGCCCTTTTCCAAGGCTGCCACCATTAAGTTCTTCACAGATTGAAGCTGTTTCAGGGTTACGTAAAAGGGCAGAATACGTTTCTGGATGTGTTCAGGGATAGAGGAAATTTTAGGAGAAGGTCGATGAGGTATTAGCCTATGAGCAGGTCTGGCTTCTGAACCAGTTTGTAAAGTTGCTTTGGTAATGGACACAAAGCTACCTGAACTTCCTCTTTCTTTAGGAAACACTTGCTCAGCTCTGGAGGACTGGGGCAAGCCGGAATGCATTAATGAAAAAGAAAGAAGGGAGGTGGTGGCACTAGAATCCTGACTGGGGAAGGAGAAAGAGTCTCTCTCGGTCTGGTCAATCTCAGAGGCATTGGATCCTGACTTGCTAAAAGCAAAGAATGTGTTAGAGTCTGGGGAGGCATTTAACATCATGGAGAACCTCTCGGAAACTGGCTGTGAATCTGAGGTGTTTTTCAGGAAAAAGGAAACCTTAGAAGAGCCCCTTTCTGACTTAGCTGAGCCACCACTGCCATGCTCAGACCTGGGATTTAAGTCCTGCTCAGCCATGGCCAGAGTCCCCTGGCCAGCTGAGTCACCCAGATGTGCAAGGGGAGCGGAGAGAAGTACAGGCAACCAAAGGAAGCCTGATAGGGCAGGAAGAGAAGCTAAAGGCTGGCAAGCCAAGCTGAGGGTTGGGCGCTGAAGAAGGAATCCAGTGCAAGAGGAGGCAGGGTGGCAAGAGGGGCAGCAGCTATTGGGCGTGAAGTCCGAGAAGAAAGGGGAGAGGGACAAGCAGGAGCTGAGGTAGGGGGGGAAAAGGAGGAGAGAGGGAGGGAGGGAGGAAAGAAGGAAGGAGCCCAGGTCGAGTGCGAAGGAAGCGGGTGGGGGAAGGGCAGGGAGGAAATTCCATGGAAGGCAGTTGGAAACGGGCTGTCGGGAGAGAAGAGCCGGAGGGAGGGGGAGCGAAGATCAGGGACCACAGAGTTACGCGCAGGTTAGAGGGGTCATCGCTCTCTCTGGAACTGACTTGCTTGACCTCAAGGGAGGTCCAGATCGCCCCTCCCTATTTTCAGTTAGGAAGTGTGTCGGTTTGCACTTTTATTTAATCTCATTTCTAGGCCGCCAAATGATTCAGCTTGGCTTCATAAAGTGAAAAGCAGGAGGAAACACCCCTCCCCCATATAATGGATTAAAACACACAGACGCACTTGCTCCATGGGAAGATTTTTTTTTTTTAAAAAAAATCCCTTTCACATTACCCCCATGCTAGAGGAGCCTGCCAGCCAGTTTATCCGAAGGTCCGGGAGGGGGGGAAGAACAACGTTTCAGACTTCCTTGAAGGAGGTTAAGGTGAGTTATTTTTAAAATGGGCATCTGAGACCGAGATAACTGGCCATAGAAATTACCAACTTTCTGTAAGGTAAAATGCACAACCAGAACAAATGTTAATGGAGGATTTACTGTGTGTAAAATTAAAATAGTGTTGTTTGTTGAAAAAAAAAAAAGATTAGCTTTGGTAAGACAAATTCTGAAATGGATGCAGTCCACGAACTCAGTTTGCAAGAAAAAAAGGGAGTTGCTGCTTTGAAAATGTTTCCCAGGAGAACTACAGTGTATTAGTTTATTCAGAATAGTACTGTAGAGCTAGAGAAGGGGATTTACAACCATCCCTGCGATGTAAAATAATGCTCATAATCCCTGCTGCACATTTGGGAGAGGGGAGGGCTAAGGAGTGAAGCTGAAGCAGCATGCAACAACCTTGTGGTGTTGACTAGCACTGTTGCTTAGAAAACACATTGCAGGAATCTCACATTGTAGGTTATTGTTTAATGTTTACTAGGTGTACAGTATGCTGTTTTCTTCCCAGATGAAGAAATTCTCCCTGCTGCTAGTTTTTTTACCACTACTAACAAGCCTGTGAGGAGGTTGGCCTCAGAGCAATGGTCAGAAGTCACTCAGTAAGCTTTTATGATTGAGGGTGGTCTTACCCTGAGCCAGTTCTAAACCATCACCATCACCATTACATCTCACTATCTAAGAGATTGCATGAATTCACCAAAGCACCAGAGGCAGGACAAGAAACAATGGTTGGAAACTGAACAAAGAGAGAAGCAACCTGGAATTAAGGAGAAACTTCCTGGCAGTAAGGACAATTAACCAGTGGAACAGCTTGCCTTCAGAAATCGTGGGCACTCCATCACCGGAGACTTTTAAGAAGAGGCTAGACAGTCACGGGTCTGAGATGGTATAGATTCTCCTGCCTGAGTGGAGGGCTGGACTAGAAGACCTCCAAGGTCCCTTCCAGCTCTCTTCTATTCTAAGGTAAGCTACTTTTAATATTGCATGCCAGAGCTAGAACGGAATTTGCCATGACCAGAATGTCCCATTGAAATCATCCTTCACATTAAAAAAGCAGTAAATCTAATACCTGGCCCAGAACTAGTATCTGCTGCGAATTGGGAATATGTGCTCCATTGATTTGCATTTAGATGGATTGTGAATTTAACACTTCATTTTTTAAAATCCTGTGATTTAAAATGTGAGTTGGAAATAACAAAGCATAGTATAGCATCTACAGAAGGAACACGTGGCTCATCACTTTGGTCAAGATTTGCTTGGTAGTATGCTCATTTGTCCAGAAGTAAGACAAATATAACCTGGAATGACACAGGAATACTACTAGGATGTTGGTGAATAATCTTTCCAGTTACATTTTGATCAATGAGTGATTTGGCTGATGGCAACCATTTTGCACTGATTACTGTATTCAGGAAAACTTTCTTAAGGGTATTCTACTGGGATTTCATTGGGAATGAAACCCGAATTGAATGTCTAGGTATAGTATATGGAAAAAAACAAGAGACTGAATATATGCCTTGCATGACTACCCGGGGTCAATCCTTGGTATTTCTAACCTAGTCTTAACCTCCATTCATTTTTGGTGAATATGGATAAGAGACTGAACTAAAGTTAGTATATGCCATGCGTGACCACCATCATTTAGCAATCCAACTAAACTAATTGTCTGATTTGTTATAAAAGAAACTTCTTATGATTCCTGTTACACCAGTAGTTCTACATACAGGTGACTAGTTTGAGAGGAACTGTCGGTAGGGATTCATGTATTGTTTGCGGGGTGGGGACTAAAATGGAAAATATGTCCATTCATATCTTTCTATTGGGATTTTTGTAAAACTATGAGTGCCATTATAGTGTTTAGTACTGTATTGCTCTTAATAAAATATCTAGGAAGAAGTCCACAAGTCTTTTTTTTTAATTAAGATATTTTTAACATAGTGTTCTATCATAAGGAGAAACCCGTTTTCCAAGAAACAGGCAGGAACCACAAAAAAACAACAACCCCTTTTATTCTCACAGGCGTGAGTCAATGTCCAAAGCAAACAAACACGTTCCCACAACTTCCCTTTTATAATTCAGCCAAGGCGTGGCTTCCTAATGCCTTCTCCTTTGCCTTTGGAGCTGCCCCATTGCATTCCTCTGTCCTACTCGCTTCTCTTTCTTGCGCATTTGTGCATCCGGGATTTGTTCCAACTCTTCTTCATCACTGTTCAACTCAGGCTCCCAGCACAGCTGTGTCTCAGCTGCACGCGAGTAGAGGGAACAGGCTCCTCGTCCGACTGTAAGTCTTGGAACTCCTCAGAGCCTTCCTCTGACTCTAATATCACTCCAGGCTCCTCCTCCTCATCTTGTTCCTCAGACTCAGCTGCTGGATCCACTGGCTGGCGAGGAATCAACACATAATGCATGCTATTAAATATTTCTGTGTAGCTCTGGCAAGTAAGAGAAAATTCTGCCCAAGATTTATTAACTTCTTAAAGATGTATATTTGATTTCCATTCATTGGTTTTCCTATTGATGGTAGTTATTATTCACAGTTTATGCAGTACTGACTGTTTTTGCAATGGCCTATGGCTAAACAACTGCATTTAAGATGCACCAAAATTCATTTTTTATGTTGCTGCAACAAACATGCTTACCTCTTTGAGAATGTATTTTATTTATTTACATATCAAATATGGAGACTGCCCATCTCATTCACAAAGCCACTCTGGGTTATGTACAATTAAACACAATTATTAATTACAATTACCCCAGTTCTTAATATCAATAGTCAATGAGCTGAAACTAGCAATGAAAATATCAATCTTTGGAGGGTCTAAAAAGACAAATGACAGATTAGAAAAGAGAATTTGAGATTATAATGAATTGTTCCATGAAAATGTCAATTCGGTTTACAATGGCTGTGGAAATGACAAATTCCAATAGAAGAGAATATATATAGTTTACGGTTCAACTGTGGAGTTCTTAGTGCTCTCTGAGATTTTTTTGTTTGCTTGTAGACATTTTATTACCTGACAAGATAACATCATCAGTGCACCACTCCAAAGTGAAGTAAGAGTGGGCTTTACTCCATGTTTATATACATTAGTTTGCCTTGCCAATGTTGCTAGAGGTGTGGTTTTCTCCTTGGTAGTTCTTTCATTAGGATAGTGTGTTGTTTTCTTCTTTCCTTGTCGATTTTAATCCTTTGAAGATGTTATGATTGTTTCATGTATCTTCTCTAGTTATTTCTTCTTTATTTTGGTGAAGGGATTGTCTATATATTAGATCAATACTTTCAAGTATTTGTGGGAGTGCTAGATGCTGCATTGTAGTCTCTACTATGAGTTCTGAGAGTGGTGATCTCATGGATGTTCCTCTGATTTGTTGGTATATTTGTCCATCAAACTGAAAATTGGTAGAGGTTGATGAGGTTCATGATTTGGATATTTCGACCTGAGTGTATTTGGCTAGATCAGGGGTGTTGTGTAGTACTGCTACCATGGATTCTTTCATTGGTTCTGGATCAATGGACATAAACTTCTTCCTCCTCAGTCAACCATTCCTTGGGTTGTAAGGTATGCAGCCTGATTTATAATCTCCTCTCCTCCTTTGCTTGCCACCACTCCAAAGCGAAACAGCTGATCTCCTGACTAGGAGAAATGGTGAGTAAGGTGAAGAAAAAGTTCTATGAGAGTATAGCCACCTGTCAACCATTGACAATCACAGCAGTGATGTTAAGAATGGAAAGCAGGGAAGCCTTCTCTATATAGGAAACGAGGACAGTGTCCTTTAGCTGAAGCTAGAACAGGCAGTGTTAGTGAGGATAGAAAAATATGTGCTGGTTTAGTTTTCTGGTGGCACAAAGATGAGATGAGAATATTTCAGCTGAGCTGGAAAAGCTCAGAGCTCCTAGATCAGTTGCTTGGGAATAACTAACTGCATGAACTGAATTAATATCTTGCTTCTTGGATTCTGATAACTGTCTGGTTATATAAGGCCAGGTCCAAAATGAAGACATAAAGAATCAGAACCAATTTTGATACACTAAGTGATATATCTTAGATGCTTAATGATATCCCTGAACTGGCTCAAAAGGGGGGGGGGACATTGTGCCATTTTTTCCCCTTATGCCTATGACTTGCACTTAGCTGGAGTGTAAAGCTTCGCACCTGATTGAAGCACGGATGGTTGCAGATATCCCCTTTCCCACCAACATTCTGCAATTAGCAGCAAATGCAAAACACAGGTAGATGGTGTCACACTGCTATGCACGCCGTAGGATATAGAAGTGTGACATAACCAGTCACAAAATTATCCACTCCTCCTAGGACAAAATGATCTGGGTTATTAAAAGCTGTTTATTCAGGTGGTGTTATTCCATAGCCGGCCAGTTATTAAAGAGGAGCTACAGGTACAAGTTCCATGTCTGTTACTACCACCTGTTATCTTGCTTCTCCTTCAGTATCTTGAAATGATGCCCAGTTTGATTCCTTTTTAATTAACATGTTATATAAAAAGAGAAGGAGACTTAGGACATTATGACATGTTTCATGCATTATATTATACCATAACTCATTTGATTTTGATTGAACATTATGTTTGGCCTCAATTATTTTTTTTCAATAATTTTATTAACCATTACAAATGAAGAGAATAAAAGCCAATAGAAGCTAAAAAAATACAAACAGAAAAATACCAAAAAATGTGGAACAGAGGGAGAAAAAGGAAAAAAGGGAAGGAAAAAGAAAAAAAAGTAATTTCCCTTTTCACCCCAGCAGGTAACACAATTTTAATAGCTTATCATAGAATATAAATAAATCTCTCTTCTCCCTGTAGCTCACCTCTTACATAAGGAAAAGGAGGTCCAAATGCTACTTCAGAACTTTAATAGAACTTTAACAAATCCCAGAGGTCGTTTTCTTGATCATCTGTTTTAAAGCAAAAATCCTTCAGAACTTTAACAGATTTCTTTTATACTGTATCAATAAGTAAAATTTATCCTTTTGTTTGTCACTTCTCAAAGAGTACTTCCAGATATTAACAGAGCTCTTTTATCTGTCCAGAAGAAAAAATGATCCAGACCACTCTTTTGATTTAATACCTGTTCATCTTTGTTAGAGATTGAGCTATCCATTAGATCCATTTCTATTACATATAAATCCCTCTTCAAATTAATTTCATAGACATCCATTATAGCTTGTTCTTGTTTTGCAAATTCATTAGAACCTGGTCTGTCAATTTTATCAAGCGTTTGACTCATTTTGTTCAAAACTTGGCTGAAAGTATTCATACATTTGCATTAATGATTTCTGTTCCTTTTTCTTTATCCTCTTACTCTAGTATCCAGCCTTTAAGGTTTCCTTATCATAAAAAAACCGCAAAAGCAATCTCCATTTTCCCATGAGAAAGTATCTTCTAAATAATTCAAAACTATAATTGTTTAATCCCTCTGGCCCTTTAATCCTTTATTAACTTCCCAAAATCCATATACTAAGTACTCTTATGCTGCATACTCCAAAAATCATATATTTTTATATCTTTTAAAATCAAATTTATACCATTGTCTTTTAAGGAGACAGAAACTCACTCAATGAATACAGTAATACTCTGCCAATATAAAAAGGTCTTAATTTCTCCAATATGCAAACACAAGTTTTTAAATCTAAAAAAGTGATATAATCTTAATGTCAAACTTAATTCCACAAATACTGCTTTGTAAAAAGTGACTTGATGTTGTCCTGATTCTCAGCCAGTCCACTCATTAGCCAACCATAAAAATGGCAGTTTCCAGGGTCTATGGCAGGGGTGTCAAACATGCAACGTCACATGACATGTCGCGACGTAGCGTGACTTTTTTGGCATTGCTGGCAATGGGGTGTGCGCAGTTTCACTATGATGCATCTGGCCCACGGACTGGCAGTTTGACACCTCTGATCTATGGTCTGGAAGGAGCAGCTGTCTGGAGTCATATGGATGGTTTCAATAATTTTTCCTTAGTTCCAGGATAATTACATTGGCTTGGATCTGGTATCCAGTCACAGTTCTCCTTCCAAAAGCTCTCTTCTTAGCTAGTTAAAGCCATAATGTTATCAGCTTGCCATGGCACCTATAGGAAGTGAGCCAGGCTCAGATATTTTGGTTTATTCAAATAAAAATAGTTAATATTAGCCAACAACCAACAAACCGTGGCTTAGAATAATGAATGAATCCAACATATAATAAAGAGGTAGATTTGTTGTTAAACTTATTAGGGATGGTCATAGGTAAAATGTTGTTCCTAATTCAATTTAATAAAGGAAAACTTCACTCAGGGTAGTAATTAACTACTGTAATGTAGAATAAAAAAAATATAATATATGACATAGTGTTTAGAATGCAGTATTGCAGGCTAATTCTGCCAACTGCCAGCAGTTTGATGCTGACAGGCTCAAGGTTGATTCAGCCTTCCATCCTTTCGAGATTGGTAAAATGAGGGCTCAGATTGTTGTGGGAAATATGGTGTCTCTGTAAACCATTTAGAGAGGCTTTAAAACACTATGAAGCAATATATAAGTGCTATTGCTGGTGTTAGATGTAATGGGCTAAACTGGAAAGCGTTAAATAAAGGTAGACTATGTACACCATTCCAATAAATAATTTTTTTTGATTTCTACTGTCTTATTGCTCTTCTGACTTCACTGTTTTTCTCCCCACTGTTTTTGTGTTTGTGTATCTGATGAAGTGAGCCCTGGTCCATAAAGTATATGCCATTATTAATAGTTAATCTTTAAAGTAGCACATCAGACCCTTGGCTGATTAAAAAAGACTCTTTATATTTTGAATAATTCAGGACAAGCTTTATCTTTAAGATTGTTGCCCTTGGCAGCAGAGTTTGGCAATGTAATTGAGGTGTCATGGAAGAAGGGCAAACTGTAAGCAATATATTTTATTATTATTGCACTTTACTGCCAGGCATATTCTATCAGGAAATGTGGAGAAAGGTTTGGGGCTTGGTGTCAACTGCCAGAATACATCTGCTTTAGATATGAAACACTTCGATGGAAGGGAGTGGAGAATATGTTGATTTTGTTCATATAGCAAAGCATCTTAGATCTGTCCTGAAAGCACCCAGAAGCTCAGATGCAAAAATCTAAGAGTATGTTTAGATGAACACTTCCCCACTCAAAGCTGGGGAATAGTTCACACATGATGCTAAAGCTATAGTTCATTAAATGAATTGCAAATTATATGGAACTATGATTTTATTATGAACCACTGTCAGGATTTAGTTGTCAGCAGTATAAAATATTTAATACA